TCTCTCTCTCCCTCTCTCTCTATTTCTCTTCCTCGCCCTTTCTCTTTTCCTCAAGCACACTCTTCTATATTCCTCACTCCCCAAGGAGTACACATGACGTCAAAGATAGCAGTATATATACACCGTTCTAACTTCATCTATTTCTGATATCTCTTAAAAATGACCATCACAGACAGCTGTATGATAAGGTGAGCCCATAACATGCATGAGAGAAAATTACAGTGTTATTTCTTTTACATTTACGAGTCTACAATACTTATTTTCATTTTTGTAAAGAGGCGACCTCCGCCCCGCCCCCCACCCCCTTCATCCTCCATTCCCTGTTCAGAAGACCAACAAAGTTAACAAACCTAATCAAAATATGCCCCACGACCACCACCATCAACAAGAACAACAACAATTTTAAAAAAAGGCAAACAAGCAAGACCAAAATAATAGGTGTAATAATCGAGGAAAAAAAAAAGAACTGGAAACTCAAAAATAAATTAAAAACAAAAGTAATAGCTTCTATCTCGGAAAGCAAAGATTCATGAGAACTTTGGAAAATGTCGACAAAGGTAAAATCAGCAGGAAAAGGATTCGGATCTGAAGAACACCGAAGAAAATATGGTGCAGAAGAAAGAAATGATTTGTAAAAACCCCATGAAAACAGGAACGTTTTTGTGTGTGTTGAAGTAGCTCTCTCAACTCTCAAACTTTAAAAGCCATTTTTTTTGTAGTTTTACATTTCTCACCCTGTTACTCTTCGTGTTACTACTTTCCTTCTATACCAGCCATGTTGGAAGCTATTTATAGCACCAGCTTGAGCTACGGCCGCTCTCTCTATCTTCAGAACAAGATCAGAGATTACGAAGAAGAATTATGCCCAAATTACTTTCTTGCTCTCTTTCTCTCGCTCTCTCTCTCTCTCTCTCTCTCTCCCACCCCACTCCTCTTTCTTTCTTTCTTTCTTTCTTTCTTTCTGTCTTTCTTTCTTTCTTTCTTTCTTTCTTTCTTTCTTTCTTTTTAACTTTCTTTCTTTCTGTTTCTCTGTTCCTGTCTCTGTATCACTCTCTTTTTTATTTATTCTTTCTCTTTTTCTTTCGCTATCTCTTTCTTTTTATCTCCCTTCCTTTTGCATACATTTATATACCCACCCCACCCCCTCTCTCTTACCCTCTCTCTT